CCTCCCTTGCAAAGGGCGTCCAGTGCCTGCGCGTTGGGCGGCGTGGAACTGGCGGCCGCGAGCACGCCCCGCGCCAGCTCGCGCGGGCGTAGCGCCCGCAGCTGCTGCGCGGACGCCGCCTCTGCGAGCCGTCCGTCCTGCTCTTCACACAGCCTCCTCTTTGCCGTCTGGCCTCCGCTGCTGTCCTCCAGGTCTCCTCCACAGCCTGCTCTGGCCATTCTGTCGCCCCCGCTGGCCTCCTCCATCCTCCTCCATCCTCCTCCGGCCTCCTCCCCATCCTGCCCCTCCACCCTCCTCCTGCCTCCAGGGCGGCGGCCAGCTCGGGGGGCGCCTCCTCGACGCCCGTGAACCTGGCGCCGCGCCGCTCGGAGGCCTCGGACTCTCGGACCTCTGCCCTGCTGCTGCCTCTCGCTCGTCTGGCTGGAACCGCCCCGCAGGGACACAGCACACGCGCAACCAGCATCGGCCGCGCGGCAAACGGAGCGAGACGAAGAGGAGCCGGTCAGTAGAGGCGTCATGGGCGTCTGATGGCGGTGCACCCTGGACGCAGGAGCGGGGGGAACGACCCATGAAAACCGTGGCCCAGATCACCAGACGAGTCCAGAAGCGGAGGGGTGCGCGAAAAACTTGGCAGCGCTGGCTCCTGGGTCGGTGTCCCAGCCCTGGGAAGATTGGGCGGAGCACCGGAAGCCGAGAGCGAAAGGAAAAGTCCCAACCCTGGAAAGGGAACAGCCCAACCCTAGAAAAGGTGCCCGTAGCCAAACCCTGGAAAGGGAACGGCCCAACCCTAGAAAAAAAACGCCCGAGCATCGGAAAACACAGCAGATGGAAGAGGAGGAAGAGAAGGCGGAGAAGGAGGAGGAGGAGGACGAACAGGAAGTGGAGGTACGGAAGGCGGGAAGGCGGGAAGGCGGAGGAATACAAAGGCGGGAAGGCGGAGATGCATGTTAGCTCGATCCTGGGACAAGATTCGGTTCGTCCAGTATTCGTTCCTGGGATGTTTGAAGTTCGTGGTTTCTTACTGCGAACTCCTTGTCCCGGACTACGGATCCTGGGTACTCTGTTGTTGGCCCGCTTTCCCCTCCATCCTCCTTGCTCCCTCTCTTCCCCCCGATTCCCTCTCATGCCGCTGATGCTGCTCTCCTATCTCGCCCGCCTCTTCCTCTCCCATCCTCCATCCTCGCTTCGCTCCAGGCCACCCCAATCCACAGCGTCTCCTGTTCGGCACACGCCCCTCCCTGCCGACAGCATCACTACTACCAACGCCGATTTCGGTACTACGCCGGTGTACCGAGGGCAGGGATCGAAAATGCTCGCATGATTGGTGAGGGCTCCAACAACTTCCTGGGCACCTGGCCATGTAGCTAAGACCTGCCCCGCCCCTGAGACCAGATACGCGCAGAACGTGATGGGGCTCCCCTGGTCCTGGAGTCTCTGGGGCGGCAAGTTCTGCCTACCCGCAGCCTCTCCTGCCAGGACATGCGCGCAGCCAGTGCCCAGAGGGCCTGGGCATCAACGCTTTCCAAAGCTCTGAGGGGGAGACTCTGAGAGAAGGGACGAGGGCCCAGATCTGGGAGAAGGGACGAGGGCGCCAAAGGATCAACGTTCTCAAGACGCTGGAGATCCTGGGAGAAGGGACGAGGGCTGTGTGCGAGGTCTTCGCGGGCGGCTCCCGGACCTTCAGCGTCTCTCGGCGGTGGAGAAACCTCTCTTTGGTAGACCTCCCCTTAGTGAAAACGGCTGGGACCGAAATCGACGGACCTGGACCCGCAATAATGACGGCCGCGACGCCCTCTCGCGAAACGAAGACGGCCGATTCCTTCACCGTCGCGTCAGGGTAGAAGGTCTGTCCACCCCCGAGCCTTGAAAGCATTGATACTGCGGATCTGTACGACTCTCGGCCTCTGGGGACAGACTTCGGGCATCAAGGACGGCCCTGGACGACGAGCCGCTCCGTGGGAAGGGGTCGAGGGCTCGGATTGGCGGCGCGCACACAGGGGCTAGGGGGAGGGGAACTTGAACTGGAACTGGTGAAAACGCGAAGCGTTAAAGGGGGGTAGGGGGAGGGGGTAGTGCTTCTCAGAAGGAGGCTGCTTCCTAGAAGGCGCTGGCCCTACATCTACAGATGAGGCCCGCGCCTCCTAAGAAGCAGGGGGGGTTCTCTCGCCATCGCTCGGACGTCCATTCCCTGTGTTCTTGTCGGTTTCGTGCGTGGCTTTTTCGCCAAATGATCAAGGATGCTCCTCGATGGTCCTCGCCGAAGGAAAAAGTGCACACGTCCGAGCGATGCCAAGTTCTGCGAAGCCTCTCCCCCCTCCCCCCTACCCCCCCTTCTGCGCGTGGCCGATCGGGGGGCCCCGAGCGTGCAAGAGGGGCTCCTCCGGTGCACCCGCCGCTGCTGCTGCCCTTCCTGCCGAAGGGCTCCAAAGGGACAGCGCTCCCTCGGAGGAGGGAGGAGAAAGCGCAGGGGAGGCCAGTTCCGGTATCATTTCCTCCTCCTCCTCCTCCTCCTCCTCCTCCTCCTCCTCCTCCTCCTCCTCCTCCTCTCCTCCTCCCCCTCATCCCCTCATCATCCTCCTCCTCCTACCTCCTCCTCCTCCTCTCCCTCCTCCTCCTCCTCCTCCTCCTCTTGCCTCCTCTTCCTATTCCTCTTCCTCGTCCTTCTCCTCCTGCTCCTCCTCCTCCTCCTCCTCCTCCTCCTCCTCCTTATCCTCCTCTTCCTCTTGGTCCTCGTCTCTTCATACTGCTCCTCTCTCTTCCCCCTCTTCCTCGTCCTCTTCCATCCTCCTGCGTTCCTGCTCCCCTCGCTTGCTGCACCCCGTCGGCGCAAGCAGGAGGAGGCCTGAGGAGGACCGCAAAACAGCCACCCCCCGCCACCTCCCCGTGGGCGCCCACCTTCGCCCTTCGCGCTGCGCGCAGCGCGCAGCGCGAATAACGACGCGCTCTCGCGCCGCCGCCCCAGAGGAGGGGAGGATAAAGGAAAGATCGGAACCGAAGTGCGCAGCGCGAAGCGCGAAGAACTTCGCGCCCTCGAGGGCGCCCCCCAGGGGGGAAGAGGAGGACGAGGAAGGCTCGGGACCGAACCGCGCAGCGCGAAGAGCGAAGCGCGAAGCGCGAGGGACCTCGCGCCCCCGAGGGCGCCCCCCCTCCCCGAGGGCGGCCTGTCGAGCAGCGACGCCACCGCCCCGCCCGCCGCCGCCATGCCCGCGGCCCGCGCGCGCGCGGCGGGAGCGGAGCGCTCTGCTGGGCTCGACCTAAGCTTAGCCTACAGGGGGGATTTTGGACGGAAAAATAAGAAACACTCAGACGATGCCCCAAACATGGGAATGAAACCGAAAAAAACCTGAAACATCGTCCCCATATTATTGTTTCACTATTTTCGAGTACTCCTCCTGTATAGGGACAGGCCCGACTTAGACCCAAGCGGTGTTCTCCGGTCTCCTGTTGTGCCCGTTTCCCCTCGCGTTGCCTTCGCTGCGCCCTTGCCGAAAGACGGAGCCGAAAGTCCCCCAAAACGGCCCACGGCATCGCCTCAGCACCGCCTGGTTGTCCCCCGCTCCGCCTTCCCTGCGGCCTCGCCGCGGAACGGAAGGCGAAGCCAGAAAAACGGCCCACGGCATCGCCCGAGCACGCGCCCCGTCTCCCACTCGCTCTGCCTTCGCTGCGGCCCCGCCGCAGCACGGAGCTCGAAGAGCCCAAAAGCGGCCCACGACGTCGCCACGGAGCACCGCCAGGGGCGAGAGCCCCAGGGGCGCCCTCGGAGCTGGGAGCTGCGCCCCTGCGAGGGCCGAGAGGGGCCGGGGGGCCGAGGGGCCGCGGAGGGCCGGGCCCAGCTTGGGCCTCGCGGGGAAAGGCTCGAGCGTGTCGAGAGAGCACGGCAGCAGCACGCGCACCTGAGGGTCGGGGGCCCGCGGGGACAGCGGGGCGATCGGGGCTGGAAGCGGGTGAGCGCAAGAGGAAACGAACACGAGGAGCAAGAGAAAACGAGGTTGCTGCTCGTCTTGCAGTGCCGAGGTCGAGGCTCGACGGCTCGAGCGTGAGGTCGGGCGTGTCCCCCTACAGGCGGATGTTGGACGAAAAATTACGTCCCCCCCACCCAGCACAACGTTTCGTGGCCCATAGAGAGACTCCACGTCTCCCCTACCCAGCACAACGTTTCGTGGCCCATAGGGAGCTCCACCGGAGGCCCCAGTGGTAAAGTCCGCATGCTTCCCCCCCACACTGTACAGCGTTTCGTGGCCCATATGGAGCTCCACGGCAAACTTCGCATGCGTCTCCCCCACCCAGTGCAACGTTTCGGTTGGGTCCTTCGCCAGGCTAATTTCTGGAGCGCGGAAGCTGCGATGCCCTCGCCGCCGAGGACGCCCGCCGCCGCGTCGCGAGGCGGCAGGGCAACAGGAAACATACGGAGAAAACACAACAAAACCGTGCGGGCGCCCGGCTTGGCAGGCCCACAGCGGCTCACCCGAGCAGGGTGCGCGCCACCTCCTTGGCCTGCATCTTTCGCAGATGCGTGTACTTCTGGCCCGTGCCAACGAAGACGACGGGCTGCCCTGTCACGTAGACCATGGACAAGGCCGCGCCGACCTTGTCATCGACGGTGTCGTACTTCGTCAGCAGCATGCCATCGATTCCCCTGCGGCTCTCGGACATGTCGATCAGCGACCGGTTGAACTTGGAAACCTGGTCAATTGCGTCATTGCCGACGAGGGCCTCGCCGACAAACAGCACCAGGTCCGGATTGTTGATGGCGACTAGCTTCGCAAGTGCCCTCATCAACGGCTCGTTGTCCTGCATCCTGCCCGCCGTGTCGACCAGCACCACTTCGTGGCCGTTGTTCCTCGCGTGTTGGATCGCGCTCTTCGCGATCTCAGCGGGATCCTTGCCGTAGCCTCGTTCGAACAGGGGCACGTCAAGGCAACGGGCATGTGTCTTGAGCTGCTCCACGGCGCCCGCGCGGAACGTGTCGCAAGCGCAGATGAGAACATCCAATCCACCTTTGTTCTTAAGGTAGTAGGCTACCTTGGCCAAGTTGGTGGACTTCCCAACGCCGTTGACGCCCAGGAAAACGATGACGTAGACACGCCCCGCGTTCTTGGCCGCCATCGCCGCTCGCAATACGTCGACCGACTTCTTCGGTGTCAGCAACGTCTCGATGGACTCTTTGAGCGCCTCCTTCACCGTCTTCGCAATAGAGGTGAACCGCTCCGTCTTTTTGCCCACGATCGCAGTTCGCACCGAGTCCGCCAGCTTGTTCGACACTTCCGCGGCGACGTTCTTGCTCATGAGGTCGCTCTTGAACTGGTGGAGAACGGGCGCCAAATCCTCCTCACTAAGCACGGCCCCGCCGGTAACGTTCTTCACGCTGCGTGTGAGCGACTTGAACAGACCGTCCATGCGGCCAGCAGGCTTGCCACTGTCCTTGCCGTTGGCCTCAGCAGCGTCCTCTCCGTCGTCGGACCCGTCATCGAGAGATTCGATGTCATCCTCATTCATGAAATCGTCCTCGCCGTCACCGATGAATTCGGCCTTCATGCGATCGGCTTCTGCCGACTCCTTCATGTCTTTGTTCTTTGAGAAATCCAGGGAGTCCATCGACTCCTTGGTGACCTTGGAGTCGGACCACTTTCGCGCCTCTTTGCCCTTCTTTGGCTTCTCGGGGTCCACGTCGGCGGCGGCATCCTTCTTCTTGAAAGCTGGCACGCCCTTGGCTTTGGCCTGAGGCCTCGGCCCCGAGCCCGCAGCATCTTCGTTGTCCCCGTCGTCCTCGTCGTCGTCCTCGTCGTTGCCGCCCTTGGTTTTCTTCTTGGGAGCGCCGGCGCTGAGCCCCTTCTCCTCCCTGACCTTGGCGACCTCCTGGCCCTTCTTCGTGTCGGAGAAGCTCCGCATCGCAGTGCCCTTCTTTCGCAGCGCCTGCTGCTCCTTGTCCACCTTCTCCCTGATCCTTCGGAACTGCGCGTCGAACGGCACGTGCTTCACCTGGAGTCCGTTACCGAACCCGCCCATGGTCTCATCGACTGTCTTGATGAACTCCTTGGACGCCGAGGTCAGCAGACCCTCCAGGTAGGTGATGGGCAGTATGGACTGGTAGACGACCACGAAGAACAGGTCCAGCGTGTTCTCCAGCTTCCACGACATCTTGTACGAATCGCACTGGTGCTGCGACTCGCCCATCCGCTCCTCTCGGGTCGGGCGAAAGGGGGGGATAGCAAAGGGGGGGTTTGAGAATCAGCTCACGTAGCTGATTCTCCCGGCGCCTCCCGGCGCCAGAGGCGGCTATGTATCGAGGAATGGGCCCCTCGGTGAGGCCGAAACCAGCTGCATGCAGCAAATCCCACCAGCCCTTTGGGCGTGAGTGGTTTAGAGAGCCCGCTCTGTCCTCAACCCCCCTTCTTCCCCTTCGGGGAGGGGTTTACCCCTCCCCCTACCCCCTCCCCCTGGGCCTGGAGAGGGAGGGCCGAGCGTCGTCAGGGGGGTCGTTTTCGACTCCTTGGAGGGCTAAAAAACGACGACCCTCACGAGGATTCTGGCCCCGACGGGGGGACGGAGTTTGGCCCCTCTGCTCTTCTGTGAAGCCAAAAACATTGATTTTACGACGGTTTCGGCCCCATTTTGGCCTTCTGAGGGGGCCGCGCTCATCTTCCTTCATAGCAAAATCATTGATTTTACGAAGGTTGTGGGCTCATTTTGTCCTTCTCAGGGGGCAGCGCTCATTTGCGCTTCTGAGGAGGTCGCAAGAGGCCCCAAGATGGCCCCAAGAGGCCCCCAGGAGGCTCCCAAGAGGCCTCCAAGAGGCCCCCAAGAGGCCCCCAAGAGGCCCCCAAGAGGCCCCAAGAGGCCCCAAGAGGCCCCAAGAGGGCCCCCAAGAGGCCCCCAAGAGGCCCCCAAGAGGCCCCCAAGAGGCCCCAAGAGGCTCTCAAGAGGCCCCCAAGAGGCCCCACGAGGAGCCCGAACGACTCACACCAGGACGAAGGGCCCGAACGACTCACACCACGAAGAGCCCGAACGACTCACACCACAAGGAGGGGCCCGAACGACTCACACCAGGACGAGGCGCCGAACGACTCACACCACGAGGAGCCCGAACGACTCACACCACGACGAGGGCCCCGAACGACTCACACCACGAGGAGCCCGAACGAGTCACACCAGGAGGAGGGCCCGAACGACTCACACCAGGATGAGGGGCCCGAACAACTCACACCACGAGAAGCCCGAACGACTCACACCACGAAGAGCCCGAACGACTCACACCACGACGAACGACTCACACCACCAAACGACTCAAACCACGAGGAGCGCTTTCTCTCCCTCCTCCTCCGCCTCGTCCTTCTCCCGCTCCCCCCACAAGGAGGATGTACAAGGAGGCGGGAGGAAGGAGGAACAGGGGAGATATGCGGGGCCAAGCGGACACACGCCTGAAAAACACGACTGTCGGCATGCTTCGCAAGAGTTGCTGCTGTGAGATGGGCTGGTGGGGATACGCGAAGCGTAAAGAATTTCGTAACCCCCCCTTTCCCGATCCCCCCCTTTCGTCCGGCCCGATCCTCCAGCAGCACCTCCCGGATGAGGCGGTCCAGCGGGTTGCCCGCCACCTTCACCAGCTGGGAGGACCACAGGAGGAGGCCGCCCTTCGTGAAGATGTAGAAGGCGTCGATCATCGCTGCGGCGTCTCGGTGCTCAGCTGGGCATCGCTCGGACGTCCATTTCCTGTTTTTTTGTTCGGCTTCGTGCGTGTTTTTCGCCAAATGATCAAGGATGCTCCTCGATGGTCCTCGCCGAGAAAAAAATGCACACGTCCGAGCGATGCCAGGTCAGGGCCCCGATGCTGGTATTGCCAGGAGCGGGCTGTTGCTTGAGGGAGGGCAGCGGCCGGCGTGAGGGGGGTGCGGCCGCGGGCGCGTGTGCCAAAACGGCTACGGAGGCTGGTGGGGATATGCGAGGCGTCAAAAAATCCAAGGGGTCCAATGGGTCCAGCGGAGAGCTGGGGAGAGGCTGGGATGCTCACGATCGCCCGCGTGTTCAGGATGCGGAGGAGAAGAAGGAAGGGGGCCGATAGGCACTGGCAATTGGCAGCAGCAGAAGAAGCTCCACAACCATGGACGGCACGAGTTGAACACGCACCTGAAAATCAAAGGCTAGAAACGCGACTACGTCCCCTTATCATGCTACCTCATCACCATCATCACCATCCTGATCCTCCTTACGGGGCAGCGCGGGCCATTTGTCTGCTCGCCACTGCACTGAGCGGCGTCACGGCCAGCCTCACCGGCTCGACAAATATGTCCAACAACGAATTCTGTGCTGTTCATCTCCGCGCTCCATATTTCTCCTCACCCTCCCCATCCCTTTCCTCCTCCACCTCAAACCACCCCGAACGCCTCCACCTGATCCCACCCAGACCGTGTAGCTCAGATGTAGCAAAAGTGGCATCGATACGGAATAGCCTCGGTATAACAATAGCATGACTGCAACCATAATTGTCTACACCCGCTATCGTCGACCCCCTTCCCCACCACACTCCCTTCGCAGTCCTCCCTCCCTCTCTGTTCCCAACCTCGAACCACCGTCATCCACCAATGCAACCTGGAACCTCAAAGCCCATCTTAAAGCCCCTCAAACTCCTCCTCCTTCTCCTCATCCTCCTCCTCCTCCTCCTCCTCCTCCTCCTCCTCCTCCTCCTCCTCCTGCTCCTCCCTTCCCCGTCCCCCCCTCGCGCCGATGAACCCCCGATATCCCTTGCCCACGTGCTGGTTGGGGACGCACGGGGCAGCCCCTGGTGCGTGCAGGCGCCCGAAGAGCACCCCTGACAAGCGGCCTTGGGTGAGGGGGTCGGGGCGACAGAGGCTGCTGGATGCTGCTGGAGGGGAATGCCCTTCATGCTGCCTGCACAACACGCCTCGCACGGCGTGCTTCGGCTGGATCGCTACACCTCCATCGCTGCCCCAAGGTGTCAGCATCTCGATGGGATCGCAACCCCTGGGACAATGTCGTTGTAGGTGTTGACGTCAGGCATGATAGGGTCGTTGCACGTGCACTTATTAGGGTACTCGTAGAAACAAAATCGTGCTCCCAGTCCCCTGTTCCGCATCCTAGAGTCAGCGATTGTGACATACGGGCCGAGAGCTACGGACGCTAGCAGTTCACAAACAGCCCTCAGCCGTGTGATTCGACTGGATCGCCCTCAACCCCTCAATAGGATATGGATTCGACTGGATCCACCGCAGCTGCAGTATATCACGGCAGCCTCAACCTGCTCTTGCGCAGAATGGTACATTCTCGCCCGTTTCTCCTAAACGCTCCTGCAGCAATGGGTGAATCTGGATGCGCCCCAGCTTCAGTAGATCGTTGCGACGGATAGCAGAATTCTCCCGAACGTTCCCTGCAGTCAACACCTCTCTTGCCTTCCCGCCTGCTCACTGCTTCCGTCGGACGCTTTCAGCAGCACATGCCCTCCGCACTCGAACGCCTGCCTCCGCAGCAGCGCCCTCTGGGAATGCGCCGTCCGCCCAGGTGGTCGAATACAGCCGTGGAGCCTCGGGGGTCGGAGGAGCTGGCGGCTGCTCGGCTGCACTGCTGCGCCGGCTGCCTCTGGCCCAGGGCCAGTCCTCCGCCACCTCCACTGCCTCCTCGGCCTCCTCGGCCTCGCCGCCTTCAACGCCCTGTCCTGCAGGCGCCTGTGCTCGCCCCTCCCTGGGAGGTCGCTTGGTGGGGAAACCCTTGTAGTCTTGGGTGCTCTGTGTTCTCTCGCCCATCGCGCTGTCAGCTGTGACAGAGCCACAAGCTCCTCGAGCAGTGTCACACCATTGTCGCAGACTCCGTGCTCCGGCGCCCCATATTTCGGCATACGCCTCCGCCGCCATGTTGCCTTCGCGCTCTCCTCGAGAAATGCGACCCACATGCAAATCTGCCACGGTGGTGTGCGCGCGCGCCTTGGTGACACCGAAGGCGCCACATGGGCGGCCGAGGATCGGTGGCCAGCGTTCCTCGGCCTTGCCCCCGAAGCGAGAGTGTCCGCCGTGCGCTGGCAGTGGATGCAACTGCTCATATGGGCCGCGGAGACACCGGGCAAAACTGCAATCGCACAAGCCACCTTCTCCGTCCCGCGAGGTCCGTTTGTGCGTGTATGTGGGAGAGAGCGCGCCCACAGCGCCAGAGCAAAGGCGGGGGGGGGGGTCCCCTTTAGCTACCCCCCCCTCCCACCTCCCCTGCTGGAAGCTCCCCCCCCTTCCCCCTTTTTCGCCTCCCCCCTGGAGCTGCCCCCCCCTCCCCCCCCTTTCGCCACTCCGAAGCTTCCCCCCCCCCTCCCCCCCTTTCCAAAGGGAGGAAGGGGCTTAGCTACCTCCCCCCCCTCGCCTTGAACCCCCTCTGCGGGAAGCTACCCCCCCTCCCCCTTTTGGTTCCAAAGGGGGGAGGGGGGGGAGGGGGGGGGCGCTTAGCAGCCCTGCACCCCGTCCCCCATTTGAGAGAGCGCGCCCCACACCGCCAGAGCAAAGAAGGGGGGGGTCCCCCCTTAGCTCCCCCCCCCTCTCTTCCACCTCCCCTGCTGGAAGCTCCCCCCCCCTCCCACCCTTTTTCGCCTCCCCCTGAAGCTAACCCCCCCCCCCGTTTCGCCACTCCGAAGCTAGCCCCCTCTCCCCCCTTTTGGTTCCAAGGGGGGAAGGCTTAGCAGCCCCCCCCTCCGCCTCTTTCGGCACCCGGGAAGCTACCCCCCCTCCCCCTTACGAAAGGGGAGGCGAGCTTAACTACACTCCCCCTGTGTTGGCCCCCATCTGCCGGAAGCCCCCTCCCCTTCCCTCCATTATTCTCCCCCCTGCCGGAAGCTACCCTCCCCTCCCCCGCCTTTCCAAAAGGGGAGGGGCGGCTTAGCTACCACCCCCCTCCTTTGAACTCCCCCTGCCAGACGATCCTCCCCCGTCGCCGTCGTCGTTGCCGTCGCCGTCGCTCGACGTCTTCGTACGACGCCGTCGTCGTCCTCGTCGTCGTCGTCGCCGCCGTCGCCCTCATTGTCGCCGTCTTCGTGTGACCTCGTCGTAGTCGTCACGACGAGGACGAGGTCAAACGAAGGCTGCGACGGACGACGGACGACGCACGACCGACGACCGACGACGACGACGACCCAGGGTCAGAGAAAACGCGACCACGACCCAGGGGCTGAGAAAACGAGGAAACGAAGCAGGGTCCGGGAAAACGAGACCACGGCCCAGGGGCCGAGGAAACAAGAAAACGAGAAACCGAACCAGGGTCCGAAAAAACGAGCCAGGGTCCGAGAAAACGAGACCACCACCCAGGAGCAGAGAAAACGCGAAAACGAACAGGGGTCCGAGAAAACGAGACCACGACCCAGGGGCCGACAAAACGAGACAACGAGAAAGCAAATCAGTGCCCGAGAAAACGAAACTACGACCCAGGGGCCGAGAAAACGAGAAAACGAACCAGGGCCCGAGAAAACGAAACTAAAACCCAGAAGCCGAGAAAACGAGAAAACGAGACAATGAACCAGGGTCCGAGAAAACGAGATAACGACCCAGGGGCCGAGAACACGAGAAAACGGGAAAACGAACAAAGGTCCGAGCAAACGAGACCACGACCCAGGGGCAGAGAAAACGACAACATCGGTCCGAAAAAACGAGACCACGACCCAGGGGCAGAGAAAACAAGAAACCGAGACCACGAACCAGGGCCAGAGAAAACAACCCAAACACCCAGAAGCCGAGTAAACAAGAAAACGAGACAATGAACCAGGGTCCGAGAAAACGAGATAACGACCCAGGGGCCGAGAACACGAGAAAACGAGAAAACGAACAAAGGTCCGAGCAAACGAGACCACGACCCAGGGGCAGAGAAAACGACAACATCGGTCAGAGAAAACGAGACCACGACCCAGGGGCAGAGAAAACAAAAAAAAAAAAAAAAAAAAAAAAACGAGAAAACGAACCAGGGCCAGAGAAAACAAGACCACGACCCAGAGGCCGAGAAATCGAGAAAACAAAAAAACAAACCAGCGTCCGAGAAAACGAGACCACGACCCAGGAGCCGAGAAAACAAAAAAAACTGAAAACTAACCAGGGTCCGAGAAAACGAGACCACGGCCCAGGGGCCGAGGACACGAGAAAACGAGAACACGAATCAGGGTTAGAGAAAACGAGACCACGATCCAGGGGCAGAGAAAACGATAAAACGAGAAAACGAACAAAGGTCCGAGCAAACGAGACCACGACCCAGGGGCAGAGAAAACAACAAAAAAAACAAGAAAACAAAACCGGGTCCGAGAAAACGAGACCACGACCCAGGGGCAGAGAAAACGACCAAGGTCCGAGAAAACTGGACCACGACCCAGGGGCCGAGAAAACAAGAAAACGAGAAATCAAAACAGGGTCCGAGAAAACAAGACAACGACCCAGGGGACTATAAAACAAGAAAACGAGAAACCGAATCAGCGTCAGAGAAAACGAGACCACGACCCAGGGGCCGAGACAACGAGAAAACGAGACAACGAACCAGCGCCCGGAAAAACTATATAAAAACACAGGGGCCGAGAAAACGGGAAAACGAGAAAACGACCCCAGGGGCCGAGAAAACCAGAAAACGTGAAACGAACCCGGGTCAGAAAAAACGAGACTATGACCCAGGGGCCGAGAAAACGAGAAAACGAGAAAACAACCCAGCGTCCGAGAAAACGAGACCACGACCCAGGGGCCGAGTACACTAGAAAACGAAAAAACGAACCAGGGACAGAGAAAACAAAACCACAATACAGGGGCCGAGAAACGGAGAACACGAGACCACGATCCAGGAGCCGAGGAAACCAAAAACGAACCAGAGCCCGAGAGAGCTAGAAAACGAGCCAGGGGCCGAGAAAACGAGAAAACGGGAAAAATAAACAAGGTCCGAGAAAACATGAAACCACGACCCAGGGGCCGAGAAAACAAGAAACCGAGACCACGAACCAGGGCCCGAGAAAACAACCCAAACACCCAGAAGCCGAGTAAACGAGAAAACGAGACAACGAACCAGGGTCCGACAAAACGAGACCACGACCCAGGGGCCGAGT